CATGGCATACCTACAATCAGCACTTAGGATGAGGCGGCAGTTGGCTCAGAAGTGCATGAGACCATATCTAACAACAACAAAAATCAGAATAATCAGTATTTGCACCTCCTGATACGCACCTCTCGGCACAGTGCGATGACCTGTCCCGTGGCCTGCAGTCAGGAGCAGCCAGAGTGCCACATGGCAGCCTCTGGGCTTGTGCCTAAGCCCCCTCCTGGATGGGCCGGTGCCATGTTTGTAAGGCTCCTCTGATGTTTTCCTTTTATTTTTACAGCGTGTTTAGAGTTCTGGAGAGGTTGGAGGACATGTTGTTTCTCTCCTTGGTGCCAGGATGGGCTATCGGTGTGTGGAGAGGGAAGCAGGACGGAGAGGGCAGACAGGAACTTTAGATGACAAATGCCTAGCTGCCATCCCAATAGCCTGCCTCCCCTCCCGAAGATCAGTCCCTCACCACCGTCTGGGGCCCACAAGACTGTTGCCTGCGTTGGATGCTTATCACATGCTTTGATCCGTGATCTGTGTTTCTGATCAAACAGTTATAAGTTGGGAGTCCCCTGTCCCTCGGACTCTATCGTTTTGTCAAGACAGGTCACAGAACTTGGGAACACATTCGCACATACAGGCTTGCTACAAAGATAAAAAGGAATGTCCTGATGGAAGATATGGGCAGAGAAAGACAAGTAGAAGGAGCAAAAGGCTTCGTGCCCTGACTGGACTCTCCACCCTCCTCTATCCCCTAGTGTCCAGTCTGTGGCAGCTCCCCTGACCCAGGCCTTGGGCTTTTTATAGAGGTATTATAAGGCAACCAACCATCTCTGGTGAGTCACAGGCCGTTGGTAGTCAGTGACTTTGGGCCCCTCAGTCCTCCTCAGGTCCATAGATATGATGTTGAGGGTTGGTAATCAGCCCTGTTCCTGCCTCGTTCACAATCTGGAGACCCCTCCACCCCTCTAGAGACTTCTTGGGCTTCAGAAGCTATGGGCCAGGGGCCAGGTTCTCAGTCTATCACAGTCCCACACCTCCATTTCATGGAAGGGGACAGTGAAGCTGCTGAGGAGGAGACCAGCATTCACCCTCGGGAGCCACCCACACCCCAGGGGCGCTGCTGTCCTGAGTTCCTCCTCAGGGTCCTGCTGGCTCACATCTACCGCACTATTTTTCAGCTGTGTGAGGGTGGGGTTCTGGACTGGACAGTTTGTCCTGGGCAGGGAGCCAGCTTACAGCCCCTGGGAACAGTGCAGCCCTGTTTCTTTAGGGCAGACTGTGCCTTGACCCTGGCCAGCTGTCCTGTCTACATCTGGAGTAGCTAGAGGGTACAGACTGTGTGTTGCCCACCCCAGAGTGGAATGGCACTCCTTGGTAAAGTCTTTGTGCTGTTCTGGATATCACACTGATCAGACAGGTCTGGATCAGAGCTTTCCCCCCCCCACCCCCAACCCCCGCCTCCATCCCTTTTCCAGTTGCTTGGCCTTGGACAGGTCGCATTGCCGGGTGTCCATCTACTTGTCTGGGAAATGGACATGTCTTGGAGGGTGAACATCAGATGAGGAAATGGCCTGATGGAGAGCACCATTCAGAGCTTCAGCTTCAGGCTCAGTCCTGCCTCTGCCCCTGCCTCTGCCCAGCTCACTCTAAAAACTTTGCCCCTTCACAAGACTGACACCCACAGAAAGGAAAAGGCCAGTGCTGAGCTTGGGGATGCAGACACCAATTTCCTGACCCAGTAGGCTCACCAACCCATTTGATAGGGAAACTGAGGGTAGCCATCTGTTCGGAGCACCAGGCTAGTGAGCCTGGGTTCAAAGCCAGGACATTGTGTGTCTCAGGGCAGAAAGGGTTTCAATCCACCTAGAGCACCCATTCACTAGATGAGGGAGTCAGGGCATCAGAGGCAAGGAGCCACCTGCTGGGGGTCACCCCACCATCTCAGATTCTGTTCCTTCATCTGTGCCCAGCCTCCCAATTCCTTGGGTTGTGGGGGTGGGTCCCGAGTTAATGGGATAACTAGTCACATCTCTGACATACTTAGGAGTCCCTGTAACTCTACTTTTCTTCCCCCGACAGCAGGTTACAAACTTTTGCCTCATGTCCCATGGAGGGACACCACAGCCCCCATCTCTCAGAGCAGTCTCTGGGGCCATGGCTTTGCTATTCAAAGCTATGGTCACCAGGCAATTTCCCATACATGGCAACTCCTTGCCTTGTTCCTGCCTTGCCAACAAATTAGGTCCCTGTGGTCTTCAAGAGACAACTGGGGATTCAGAAAACATGGAAAGTCATACAATTTAGAGTGACAAGAGTTTGAAAGTCAGTAGGAAACTTTGCTGGGCCTCCGGAGAGATTTCTTCCTGGATATTTCAGGTAACAAAAGCAGGGGCAAGTAGGGCTGCTGCCAAAGTTTGAGTCTTGATACTTGTATTGAATGAGCAGTTACTATGTTCCAGTCATTTGATGAGAAGTTACTATGTTCCAATTCCTAGCTAAGGAATTCCCACAGGCCAGCTGAGCTAACACATGCCTCTGAGGCCTTGCTGGTTTTCATTCTATAGGTAAGGAAACCAAGAGACAGAGAGGTACTTCATTTGGTCAGGGACACACAGCTTGTGACTAATGCTGCCTGGGCAATCAACTCCAGGTCATCATTAATTATTCTCTAGCTATGCTCATGTTATACCAGAGGTCCTGATGCAAGTGCCACCCTGAGAACCAAGCCTAGACCATACCAATGGCCAGGGACAGCAGAAATACAAAGAACATAAATCCACAACCACCGAGACCCAGAAATCAGCCCCAGCTTGCCTGCAGGTGACCAAGGCATCAGTGTCACATGCAAGATCCACCTCAGTCACTTGTTGTATTGGACAAGATATCCCCAAGTCACTAGAAGTCTTGGCTTCCTCCTCAGGAAAAGGATGGGGAGTTAATACCAACTCCACGGGATGGTAGGGATGTGGTTAACGAGCCTTGCAGAGGTTTTTATTTTATGTCCTATTTTAAGGATCGTAACACAAAGCTGGATGCAACTGAAACACCAGCTGATTCCTTGTTCTTTGTCTTGAGTTTTTGCCCGTCTGTGTATGTGTGTTTGGGAGCCATCGCCTGTACATGTGGAGGCCAGATATGACAACAGTGGCTTTTCTTTCCACCTTGCTCTTTGATACAGAATTATCACTGAACATGGAGTATGCAGATTTAGCTAGGCTGGCTGAGTGAGCCCCGGGGGTCTGCTTGCCTCAACTCCCTTGCTCCAGGTATAGGCAGGTACTGCCATGCCAAGCTTTTCCATGTGTGCTGGGGATCTGAGCCCAGGTCCTCATGCTGGCACAGCAAGCATTTCTCCCACTGAGCCATCTCTCCAGCACCTCATTTTTGAATGCATCATTCACCTGTATTCCGTTCTGCTCCTTTTCTCCCTAGAAGCTGCCATGAGCAGGTCAATAGCTGGGGTGGAATTCTTTTTGGAAACAGGAGAATATGCAAGATCTTGGGGTCCCCTCCCACCTAAAGATCCTTGGCTCACTCATCCCTTCTTCCCCTCCTCATTGCCAGCAGAGGTGTGGGTCTCACTATATTCAGCTTTCATTGTTGCTCCCTGGGTTTCCTGCTCCTTGCCTGTGGTCTCCACTGGCTGGATGCTGTTTCTATGGCAACAACAGCTTAAGAGCCTTAGGCCCCCCTCTGAGGCGACAGGCTTGGATGGAGATGGCTGATCAAATTCCTCAAGCATCCTCAGCCTTCTGGATGCAAGGCCCAGGAGAGGAATGCAAAGTCTGAGCTGCCTGGGACACGGAGTTTCCCAAGGGACCCATCCTAGGTTTCAAGTGCCCCTGAAATTCATGTGTTGGAAACTCGAAGGTAGCAAGGGTGCTCACTGTCCTCCTGTAAGATTAATGTGGGAGCAGCCCTCTTTTAAGGACATGTTTGTCCCCCCTCCCCCGCCTTCCACACAAGCTCCATCTACAGCAATGCTTGCACACAAGGTCCTCACCAGAAGCAGCCCAGGACCTTGGGCTCCTCAGCCCCTAGAAGTGTGAGTCCAATAAACTCTCATTGTTTGTAAGTCAGATTGCCTGTGGCAATCTCTGATGGCTGCAGAATGGACCACAATCATCTAGAAAACACTTGAGCAGGCGGCCCCGGTGTAGCCTGCAGCCTTCCCCAGGCCTAGAGTGTGTGCTGCGGAGGGGCTGTCATTCCCTGGGCAGGCTTCCTTAACAGTCACCTTCACCTGTGGTTCTGCAGCAGGCAGAAATCCTGCTTGGAGAAACCCTGAGTCTCAGAGAAGATTCTTGAAACTGTTTGAGGCTGAGACATCCCCTGTGGCACTTCATCTTCCCAAGCCTAGTTCAGGGTTCTCTCCTTACTGGTGGGGGTGGGCAGGTATTTCACCCTCCTCCCAGGACCTGAAAAACTCAGGCAGGGCTGCCAGGAGGCCATCTTGGTAGTCAAGACTGAGAGCCTTGCGAATACTTGCAACATGTCAGTGCTCAGAGGTGACACTAGGGGGCACTACACTCACCCTATAAAAAGCTAGGTGCTGAAGACCTAATAGTCATTGAATCCACCCCCCTCACCTGCTTTCAAAGACCACACCACCCACCTCCACTGTTGCCCGATGACACTGGGCGCAGCTGACACTGAACGTGGGACACTAAGATTAAGTAACCCTTCATGGGAAGTGGAGGTATGTACGGAGTGTAAGGACAAGATTCCATGTGGTTCCTTGAGTCTGAGATGCGAGTCCGGTCCCCAGGGAGAACTCTGCATCAAGCAGTCTCTCCCTCTGCCATGCTCCTGTCCCTGTCCACCAGAGTCAGCTCCTGGGAGCAGAGGGTAAGGTCTGCCTCCCCTCTCAGAGGGGCATCTCAGAGGCCTCCTGCTGTCCCCTGCTGTCTCCCAGCAGACCTCAGCAGGATGGAGCTTGCTTGACAAACGCCTTTTATTCCCGCCCCCTTCCCCACTCCTGCTTACCACCCTCCTCCCAGTGGCTCCTGCACAAAATTGAAAAGTTGTTGTCTCAGGGGCTGTGACTCTGGGGCTCAAGACAAGAGGCCCCTCCCTCTACGTTGTTACCCATGTGAACCCCCGAGTCATAGATGGGGTAAGACTTTTGCCAAGGTGGCCCCAGCCAGGCTTGCCGTATGACACTCTGCAGTCACAGCCCAGTGTCTTTGATTGAGTCTGGATTCTGACTCCCATGGGCACTATCCGTGTGGGCAAGAATCCATCATCATCTTGGAGTTTTCTGGAACCAGAAGGTGGCCCTCGTCACACTGTTTCCTGGCCGTGTCTGATAGTGTGCTATGGGCTCAGCAGATCCTCTCGATTGGTCCTATCCCAGTCCTCAGAGCTGATGTGATGATTTAGGTCCAGTTAGAGGGACGCAGGAGGGCTTGTGTGGGGTGAGTCCTCCAGGGATGTCTGTGAATCTGTTCCCTCAGAGGAAAAGCTGCCCCCAGTTGGGTGGGAGGCCTTGCTCTGTCTGGGAAGGTGATGCCAGGAAAAGAGAGAGGTGAGGAGCCGCTCCAGCGTGGGCTCGGGGAGCTTGGGGGCACCTCTGCCTTCCTCGGTGTCCACAGTCTGGCCAGCTTCCTGGGGTGGCAGGCCTGCCCACATGTCTCTGCTCTGCTCCCCTTGGAAGACATGAGGAGACCGGTGGGATTTTGGCACGTGATCCACAGTCAGAGAGCCCTGTAGGGACCTGTCCCATTTGGAAACCACTTCTCTAGGCAGACCCTGGCCCTTAGCCGCTGGCCTGCTTCGGTCTGTGTGTGCCGATTGGGCAGCAGTGACCTCTGGGCATGGGCAGTAGGCAAGTGCCGTCCTCAGCAATCCCTGGATCTCCTGATGTCGCTCCTGGGCCTCTTCCCACAACTCCTGGCCCAGGCCGGCCCAGCTCAGGGAGGCCACCTGCAGCTTCATGGCCAGGAGCTTCTCGGTCTGGAACTCAGATGCCAGGCGCTTCAGGTAACAGTGGAGGCGGAGGTGGAGCTGGTCCCCGGGGCTGGTCTTCGACGTCTTGCCCTGCCTGAGTTGGGTCAGCAGGCCCTGACAGTCTGTGTGGAACCGAGACATCTAAGGACAGAAAGAGGGAGGGAGGTGGGGGCTCCATGAGGTCAAGATGAGACTGTGAGTCAGAGCATTTACGTCAGCGTGGCTGACGGAACTATTAGTGCACAGCCTGGTGTGCACAGCCTGAAGTGCGACAATGATCTCTGGTGACTGTCATCACCATTATCCCCTTTCTTTTGGGATCCGTACCCCTGCCACCTTCATATAAACTCTAGCACCCCTGGGCTCTTCAGGCCCCTTCTAACAGACCCACAGGCCAGCAGACATATGACAAAACAAGAGCTGTAAAAAATTACCAGAAAACCCTCTTCAGAACTGAGGGCCGGGATGGCGAGCAGACTCAGTGGATAAAGTGCTTGCAGCACATTCATGAGGACCTGAGTTCAAATCCCCGGCACCCACATAAAAGCTGTAAAGGGGAGCTTGTAACTGTAATCTGCTGGTGTGGAATGGAAGGCTGAAACAAGGCAATCTCCACAAGTTCTAGGGCCTGCTAGCCTGGCATGCTGTGACAAATGACAAGAGACTGTTTCGAAAAAGGTGGAAGTGAGAACTGATACCGAGGCTCTGTCCTTTGACCTCCACGGGCATGTGTGTGACACACCTACACACAAACTGAGTGTAGCTAGGCCTGTTGGTGTAAAGCTGTCTGTCATTCTGGCCACTCCAGAGTTCAAGGCTGGATGATGATACATTCAAAGCCTTCCTGGGCTACAGAGTGAGTTCAAATCCAGCCTGAGCAATTTAAGGAGACTGTCTCAAAAAGTCAAAAGGCTAGGAATGTGATTTGGTGGCAGAGTGGAAGAGTGTTTGAGGCTAGGTTTAATTCCCTGCCTGGGGTGAGGAGATGGGGTAGGGGAGCTGAGACACTGAGGGAGGAGGGTTGCTAACACAACCCAGAGTGTCATCAGTTTGTCTGGTTCCATGAGTGTCCCTGATCACTACTCTGATCTGGGTTAGTAGCCCATTTCACAAAGGGAGAAACTGAGGTACAAAACAATGAAACCACTTGTCCCAAGTAACACAGTGAGGTGGGGGATAACTGGAATCCCAGCCCGGATCCAACCTGCCTTCTTGTGCCCAAAGAAAAGCTGGCTCAGGCAGGGGTGGGCAGTCAGCCCAGCAGGCCTCACAGTCCATGCACTAGCTGGGCCTCTTCCCACTGTGTGACTCTGCCTGTCCCCAGCACCCACTCTTCGACACCCCTACTGTACGATAAGCGGCTGATGCAAAGAATAATCTCTCTCTCTCCATTAATTTAGGGCCGAGAACAAGCCACTGGCTAAGGGACAGCAGAGCCATTTGCTGCAAGGAGGCATCTTTCTGTGAATTAGGGGAGCTTGTCTTTAGATAAATGGCTTCATATTCACAGTAGCACTCAGAGCCCACGGCACCATAAATCTCCCTTAGCAGCCAATCGAGTTAGGATTATTTAGGGCAGAAGTTACAGCACTCGGGCGCCCCACCTGGGTAGAGTCCTGTCTGAGTCCCCCACTTCCAGCCAAGCCTGACAGTCATGGCCAGTGACTCAGGCACCATCTCCAACTCCTCCTCGCATAGAGGAATGATCAGGGCAGCAGTGCCCAGCCCTGGTTAAACTGCCCGAGGTGGACGAGGGACAGTCAGGCCTGCTCCCTTCTGTGGTGCTCTTCTCCTTAGGAGGAACACGACCTCGTCCCAGGCCCAGCCTGACCTCTTCCCTCTGTCTCCCCCCCCCCCTTTTTTTTTTTACCCATCTCAGGCTAGGACACCACATGTGCCCTGACACCTCAGAAAGCTCACAACCCAGAGGGCACACCAGAGACAAGCAAGTGCCAAGCAGTGGATCATTTCAGATCCTGAGGGGCACTGTGAAGCTACGGCGTGGTAGGTGTAGTGATCAAGACAGGCCTCGGCTTTTCTTGCCAAGGAACAGCTTTCCAGGCAGTGGAAAAAGCAGAAAAGCAGGTGCAAAGGCCTCAATGCTAGGAGTTGGGTTGATTCAGGGAAGGCTGCAGGGAGGAAGTGGGTAGCATCATTGGACGAAGAGAAGCTTCCAGATGGCCTTGATGCTAGGTGCATTGCTCTGGGGGTTCCTCAGATTTAACCTTTTCTATCTTTAAAAATAATATTTTATTTTCCATGCATGAGGGTTTTGCCTGCCTGAATGTCTGTGCACCCCATGTATGCCCAGAGCACGGGGAAGCCAGAAATGTGTATTGGATCCCCTGGAACAGGAGTTATGGCTCATTGTGAGCCATTGTGTGGGTGCTAGGAGTCAAACCTGTGTCCTCTGGAAGAGGAGACAGTGTTCATAAACACTGAGCCATTTCTGCAGCCCAAATCTGCTTGTCCTACTACCTGGCTGGGAGTACATTCCAGCCAAAGGTCTGGATTTGAATTGTAGTACTGCTGTCTGCCAACTCTGTGACTTTGGGTGAGTCATTCAACCTCAGCACAGGACTGCTGTGACAGTGAAATGATTAGACTATAGCCTGACACTAGAGACTGGTGATATAATATTTATGATTTCTTAAAGCTTGCCCGAGGATTCAGAAAGCAAAGTCAGCCACAAGCTATAGAGGTCAGTAGGTGGTGGCACATAACTTTAATCCCAGGATTCAGGAGACAAAGGCAGATGGATCTCTCTGAGTTCAAGGCCACTCAAGGATACATTAGAGTGAATCAGTCTAAAAGAGAATTAGAGCTCACACCTTTAATCCCAGCATTAGGGAGGCATATAAGACGGGAGCAAGGTCTTAGTATCAGGCATTCATTCTCTAGCCACATTGAGAGTAGGAACACCCAGCCCTGTTAGAGGTAAGGGCTGACTGATAGCTTGGCTGCTTCAGGTTGAACCCCAGTATCAGTCTCTGGGTTTCTTATTTTTTGTGTTACAGACCCCACGCCAGTACTAGCCATTGCTAATATCAATAGGGGCTGAGGTTCAGAGAGGTGAGGACAGCAGTTGAGGCCACACAGCCCACATGTGCATATGTGGCCCCTGTCCTGAATCCTGGACTCTGCCCTCCTGTGCTCTCAATGGTGAGGGAGAAGGGTGTCCCTTCACTGCCACTGCTGACGGCTGCCTGCCTTGTCCCTGACCCAAGGAGACAGAGGAGCCCTGTCCTCCGAGTCCCCAGGCATTTGCGAGTTGCCTGGGTCCCTCCCACTGCCCTCTGAAGCATCCCATGTCCTCAGCTGTCCCTTCATGCCCCGCCACCCAACAGCTGGGAGGTGGGGTCAATCTCCTCCCATACTCTGTCTTTCATGGCAAGTTCAAGGGGCAGCTGAGGGCACAGGACAGTCATGTGACTTCTTTTCCAGGCGGGACCCAGCTCTTCTAGCCTTCTTTCTTGCCCAGAGGCCTCAGTTTTTCCTCTAGAAAAATGGGGCCTGGATTATATGGATTTAGGAGATCAAATCCTACTCAATGACTGCTCAATCCTACCTGAATAGCTTACTCCTTCTGGGCCTAGGTCTTCTCCTCTGTAAAATGGGCACAATGCAGGTGGCCCTGATTAATCCGGAAACAGGCAAGTATGAAATGTTCACTCGCAGGATCTACACTCAGGCAGGCTTTCCTTCTAATTTAACCACTTCTCCCTCATCTTCACCCTGACTACTTGGCAAGGGAGCCTGCCTGTCTTTGAAGAAGGACCCAGGCACATCCCAGGGCAGGCCACATCTGCCTCCAAGTCAGCTTCCTTTCCCTGCTCTCCACCGTGGGAATGAATGTCATGAGGCGCCTCATGCTGTGTCCCCGACCCTGTGCCACCCCAGGAGAGGGTGTGGGTTTGTTCTGATGGGCCATGAGGCTCGCTCACCTTCTTTCTGAAGCGGTGGAGGTGGAGCAGGGTCTCCAGGTCAGTGCGCTGCCTCTCGGCTGCCATGTAGAAGTGTGTCAGCCTGGCTTGGAAGGCCTGCTGTGTGGAAGCAAAGGCTACCAGGTCTGGGAGCCCCATCTCACCTGCCCCTTCCTCTGCAGCTCCCAACTGGGCAGCCTGCTTGGACAGTTCCAGGCCCTGGCGGTACTGGGCCTGAGAAAGAAAAGGACATCCACTCAGCTCCTTCCTGAGGAACTGCCCAGCAGTCAGGAGCTGCCACGGCCTTCTGAACCTCAGTTTCCCTATCTGCAAAGCTCAGCCTACAGTCAAAAGTTTACGCATCCAACAGTCCAGGCCTTTACCTTGGAAGTTCACATTCTTCTGGAAGGTTCTGTGACATTAAAGCCTGGGTCAGAGTCTTTGATCTCCCACAGTCCCCTTTACTGTGTCCAGGCCAGTCCCATCCTCCACTGCCTGGGAGTTCCCTGAGGGCTGTGACAGTCCACAGCCTCCTTTGTCTATCACAAATGTGACATCCCTAACTGTCTCTCCAAGCTGACCCATCAGGCTAAGGTCTAGGCCCTGGAACCTGCACTTTAAGAAACCCTTGATGGTTCTAATATCTTTGTTACTTGGTCTTGGAGGACTTCCTGGAGGGGGTAGAACCTCAGATGATGCCTCTGTGGTCCAGGCTATCCCCTCACTGACCCTGGAAGCTCCCTTGCACTTTCCCACCCCTGCATCTGGGATTTAGAAGACCCCTCTTGACATCTTGGGTCCTGGAACATACCGCAACCTGCAGGAAGAAATCCTCAAACTCAGCGTGGACTTTCTCAACTTTCTCTGCACATAGGTCGACAGGGGCAAGTGCCTGTAGACACTGGCTTCCTTCCTGCTCCATCCAGTCATTGACCTGGGCAGAGGATAATGGTTCATTACGATGCCATCCTGGGCCAACTGTCTACTTCCTGGTGTGTGTCTACTTGCATGGGCTTGTGCATGCATGCATATGTATGTATGTGTGCAGGTGGGTGTATGTGAGTGCACTTGTGCGTGGGGACCAGAGGTCAACTTGGGTATTGCTCTGTAGGAGCTCCCCAACATGATTGATTGATTGATTGATTGATTGATTGATTGTCTTGTCTCACTAGGATCTGGCCTGGGTCCTGGCTGGCTAGTGAGCTCCTGAGCTGACCCCCGACTCTGTCTCCTCAGCACTGAGATTACAAGTGTATACTGCCACACCCAGTGTTTTATGTAGGTTTTGTGGATCAAACTCAGGTCCATGTACTTGTGTGGTAAAACACTTCACTGATGGAGTCATCTCCCTATTCCCTGGACTTCTTGAGGGGCCAAAGCCTTCATGTCCTCAGTCAGTCTTGGGCCTGGATGGATGGAACCCCTCCCAATGCTGGGCAGGAGAATGGGGAGAGGGGAGAATGTGGCTGCATTCTGCAAATGTCAGTGGGCAATGGCCTCCCTCAGCTTAACCCTGAGGGGATATGGTACTGTGAGTGCCCTGCACCTAGGAGACCCTCTATGTGTGTGTGTGTATGATTGTGGGATGAAACTAAGGTGGCATGCGGTCACAGGAACGCAAGACCTGTTGGTCTGGCCACTGACTGTCATTTGGCCTCTGGGGGATGGGCTCCCTGTCTTAGGGCATGTAACTGAAGCTGGACAAGCACCTGCCAGTGGCAGAGAGTCTGCTAAGAACTCACTGTGTTACTGCCTGACCCTTGCTTCAGTTTATGTGTGATGATGGACAGGCATTATGGGGCCTGGTGTGCCATGAATAATGGATGGGCATGAACAGCCAGTGTGGGACACATGGTGAAAAGTACTGCTGACCTTGTGTCCTTTGAATGTAACTGGCCTCCATAATCTCATAGGGAGTGGCACTATTAGGAGGTGTGGTCTTGTTGGAGGAAGTGTGTCACTGTGGGGGTGGGCTTTGAGGTTTCCCATGCTCAGGACACCACCCAGTGTGTCAGTTGACTTCCTGTTGCCTGCACGATGGAGCACTCTCAGCCCCAGCACCACGTCGGCCTGCACACCGCCGTGCTCCCCGGATGATGACAGTGGACTGAACCTCTGAAACTGTAATCAAGCCACCCCAAATAAATGTTTTCTTTATAGGAGTCGCTGTGGTCATGGTGTCTCTTCACAGCAATAAAAACCCTAACTAAGTCAGACCCTGTGATGGTTAGCGCTAATTCTGAACATTACAGAATGCAGGATCCCCTAGGAGACTAGCCCCTGGGGTTTATCTTGGTTTTGTGAGTTGCAGTGAGAGCCCTGCCCACTGTGGGTGTTACCATTCCCTGGCTGGGATCCTGGACTGTATTCTCCTGATTGTGGATGAGTCACGATCCTTCCACCTGGACCACCACTACCATGATGGACTATAAAGCAGAATAAACTTCCTTGGGTTGATTTTGTCAGAGAATTTTTGTCACAGCAACAGGCAAAGAAAATAAGGCATTCTTGCTATGGGGATACCAACAAAGATACTTTGTCTTCAAAAAGCTCAAGGCTAGAAATGAGGGTGCCGAGGCTTGAGCAGTCAGGTGACCTGAGGGTCAAGACTATGTGCCCAGCTGGGATGACCCCGCCCAGAGCAGACAGGGATATGTTGGCTTTAAATGCTAAAGCCAGATGAAGAGGTACCAACAGCTCCCTTATCATACTCGAGATGGATAACCACAGTGGGTGGCATCTGCCTGGCCTTGTTTTCCCTCTATGTGTTGGGGAATCCCAAAAGCTCCCATGTCACTGGTAAGAGACTATGCTGGAAGACAAAAATAGTCACAAATACTGTAGTCCAGGGCACACACACAGTCAGTAAGTGCAACCCTTATGTTTGTAATTAAATCCTGATTGGACGGCTTATTTTCTGCCTTGGCCCCAACACCAAGGGCGGCCAGCCTGGTGTTTTAACAACAGAACAAAGGGACCCTTGTAAAGCACCATGTCCCCCAGTAGCCTCCCCTTCACCTGGTGGATGGCAGCTTCCAGGTGGCCCAGGCGGACACGGAGCTCCAGCCTTCGGAGGAGGTGATTGGACACAGTGACCAGGACGTGAAGCTGGTCGTCCACAAGGTTGTACAGGGCTGCCGCTTCAGTCAGGCGGCTCCTGAAGGGGAGTGAGGGCAGGGATGAGAAGGCCCCTCCCAGTGCATGGCATGGGCCTGCCCTCCTAATCTGTGGCCCCAGCTGGGCTGCTGTGTGACCTGAAGCAGATCCCTGGCCCACCCTGGGCCTCATCCTTGAATCCACAGACACAGCAGGAACTTGGCAGAGTATGAAGCCAGCTGGCTAGATCTGAGCCTGGACCCCAGTCCTGCTATCTGCTAGTGTGGGTCCTTCTGCAACATCACCACTTTCGGGTCTCTGGTTTCCCGTCTGGGAAGTGGGAATGGTAACAGAACCCACTTCCCAGAATGGCTGTGAGCAGTGAAGTGGTCGATGCAGAGGCTTCCAGAAGCACAGCACCCACATTCCATCCCAGGCCTCTGCATGAGGCCGGGAACTTTCTAGCGCTGCTTAGGGTGTTCTGAGAAGCCAGGGGACCTTCCTTCCTTCGAGAGAAACACTCATAAAAGTGCCAGGCACTAGAGGCTGGCTGATGCTCACACATCCATTTGCAAGACCCTATCTTCCCAGAGTCCATTCTGCAGGACACAGGTACAGAGAGGCAACTGTAACCCACAACGGTCTTTTGTTTCTGATAGAGACTCAGTGTCCTGAGCTGGCTTCAAACTCTTATGTGACCAAGGATGACCTTGAACCTGGGACCTGTCCTGCCAGGCATTTTTAAAGTGACCAAAGCCTGGGGATCTAAAGCAGGAACTTCTCTCGTGGAGATGCTCAGTGAAGGGAGAAACTGGAGTCTCCCGGCAACTGCCCTGGGGAATCTGTTTGCGGACAAAGATGATGGAAGGAAAGACTGCCTTTCCAAGGGGCCCTTGTCATGGGTCCTACATCAGAAAAAAGCCCAAGACTTCTAAAGAAGGGGCCAGCCCAGAGGGCTGCAGCCACCAATAGGCACTGAATAGGAAAGGACCGCAGCGAGCATAGGCCCACAGCGCCCCCTAGTGGAGCTCCAGCTCAAAGGTCTGGAGGGACCTCAGGTAGATGGGAGGCTTTGGGCAAAGCAGGTGAGGTGGAGCATGGTGGGTTAATAACTGGGGCAGGAGGTGGCCCACACTAGACACTAGGGCCCACCGTTGTTTTGGCTCCACCTGCATGAACCTGCCCCTGGCAGGTTCTAGGGGTGTGCATCAGGGTGACATGCACTACCTACTTGCTGGCCCCACCACAAGCCATATGTGTGACCCTAGGAAACTCAGTTAACCTCTGTAAGTCTGGGGTTCCTCCACTGTATCAAAAGTGGGAATTACATGAGTCAATGTTTACAGTTCTTTAGAACAACGCACACACAGACCACATGTTGGTTCATTGCACAAACTGTTCTGAACTGTGTGCATAAACTTTGCATTTGGTTCTTGAATATTTGCATGCCTTTGTCTTACTAGAGCAAACAATTCTAATTACTGACCGATGCAATGACATGCTCAGCATCACTTCTTTGGGCTCAGAAGCATATCAGATTTTGGAGTTTTTCTGATTTTAGGTGTGCGTGCGCGCGTGTGTGTGTGTGTGTGTGTGTGTGTGTGTGTGAGAGAGAGAGAGAGAGAGAGAGAGAGAGAGAGAGAGAGACATTTGCATTTCAGATACATCTTTACACATAGCCTGAAAATAATTTTGTATAATCGTTTCAATAATTTTGTATACGAAGCTATGAAGCAAAGTATCCCTGGTTGTAATTTCCCCACTGTGCCCAGACTATCTGAGAGTTAAGGACAGGCCAGACATCTGATTTTCAGATTGAGGAGGTTTCACTTCTCAGCAGTTAAGGAAGCTGGTATCATCCAGTCAGGTCTGTCACTCACCTGTGGCTCCTGAGGCCCTTCCCCAGGCTGAGCATGGGAAAGACAAGACCTGTAGGGATAGTCACCCAGCTGTCCCAGCCTTGGGTTCCTATGGGCCTTATTGCTATTTCTCTGTGCTCAGCCTCAACTTCTTCTTGCTAAATAAGAGTGGTGTGGGCAGCACCAGGCTCTTGCCAGAAACAAGTGAGACAGGTCTTGAAGGGCTTGGGCCAGTGTCTGGATTGGAAAAGGGCATGGTCCATGTGTGGAGGGAGGAAATAAAAGGGTTGGTCCTCCAACATCTGTCTCTGGCTGAAACTGGCCAGAGATGAAGGAGGGAATGGTGAGGCTATCCCCAAGGCTCAGAGGGTGAGGAGCCTGTGACCTAGCTGTGTCCCTAGACCCACTCTATGCATTCCCTTCACAGGGTAGCCCCACTTCTGAGAATGAAGGAAGGAAGATGGAGTGTCTATACCTGACATCAGGGTTGGCCTTCAGCTTGCTGGCCTCCTGCTGCAACCTGGCCAGAGTAGCTCCACCTTCCCTCTGGAGAGCCAGCAGGCCTGGGTCCCTCAGCACAGCCTCCATCAGATCCTTGGACTTGCCCAGGCACCTGGTGGCCTCCTGCCAATATAGGGGGTGTCCTGATGCCCAATCTCCACTCACCCCTGTAGCCTTCTGGGGCCCTGGCTCTCCCAGCTGGGTATACAGGCATCTCCAGGAAGTCTGCCCTTTAATCTCTAGCACATTGCCTGAAGCTATAACCCTCTTATCATCGTGGTGACCTCACTGGTCCTGGCTCCATCCTCTATTGGGAATAGCCATCCCAGACTCTAGGTTGAGCTCTCTGCTGCCCTCGGGCTTCCCCAGCAGCAAGAAAAGGACATCAAAGGGCATGCCTCACGATCCCCTGCTTCAAACTCCCCAGGGCTTCACTGCCCAGCCCCTTTCTTTTAACTGTGCTCCACATATATCCAGCTACAAAGGCCCTGCCTCAGGGCCTTTGAACATGCTGGCCCTCTGCCTGGAGTTCATCTCCCTTCAAAGACATAGTCTTTCTTTCAGGCCTCAATTAAACACCATCTCTTCAAAGACCACTCGCCTTCCTCACTCTTATCACTTTTATGACATTTGGCACAATTTGTAACTACCTTCTTTTTTTATTTTTCCCAGTTTGAGGTCTCTTGCATCCCAGGCAAGTGTTCTACCACTGACCTACACCCCCAGTCCCTCATAACTACCCTTTAAATAACCACTCAGTCCCTGCACCATGAGCCTCACCAGAGCAGAGGCAAGTCGGTTCCTCAGGCTGGGTCCCCAGTGCAGGGCATATGGTGGATGCCCGAGAACTAGCATCTGAGTGACAAACTGAAAAACAGTGACCACCGAGTGTCCCCTTCCCAATGCTCTCGGTACTTATAGGCTGAGGTATGCTGGAGGCTTCCCTACTCAGGGATCCAAGCTTACCTGCATCCCGCCAGGGGGGTCACCCTTCTCAAACTCTTGAATGGAAGCCTGCAGCAGGGATGAGGCCTGGCGAAGGTCAGTGAGGAATGGGCCCAGCTTCTGCAAGGACAGGCGCCAGAGCGCAGGACTCAGCCTGGGTGACCAAGAGGAGAGATGTCTTCCCCCCAGGAGGACATGGGAAGGCACCAGGCAAGGCTGCTAGAACTTACACTACGCTAGAATCATCAGGAGAGCTGGAGGTCTAGGCAACTCCCTGCCTGACTCTTTCCCCCACCTCTAGCCCACCCCACCCCACAGCTGAACCAGTGCTCTGGGGCAGTGTGAGCACTCCTACCAAGTCTCCAAGCCACAGCGTTACTGCTGCAAGCTCAGGGGACCCTCTAGTGTGGGGACAAGAGTCAGAGAAGAGAGAAGGGCCTGAGCGGTTCGAAGACCCTGGGGGTCCTCATAGAAGGGGCAGGATGGGGGTGAGAGGTTGGGATGGAGAAGCACCCTCGGCCCAGCTCAGCCATCGGCTAGCTGTGAGACCACAGGTAAGTTTCTTAATGTCTCTGGGCTCCACTTTCCCTCTGAGAGGGTTTGCTAGATTACTGTATGTACAGGACAGGGTAAGGGTTTGCTGGATTACTGTATTACAGGATTTAGAATAGCGCCTAGAACATGCCAGACTCAAGATCACCATAAGTTTTATACTGGATGACCCAGTAAAATTTCACTTGAAGGGACAGCCTGAAAGCTGAAGCTCAAAGGTCGCTGGGTTAATGGAAAGGATCTGGAGAGGGAACCTGGAGCCTGAGAGCAGGACATGCCACTGCCATGTGAGTACATACTATTGCTCCACACCTTCAGGTGAGTGATTCTATGCCCCCCCAGCCGCTGCCAGGACGCCAAGACCAGGATGCCCACGCCCCTTATGCTAAGTGTTCTCTAGAACTGGCTGAAAATGACTCAGATACCTGATGCCAGGTAGACACTGCCTTGAAAGCTGTATTGATGTGTTTTCAGAAAACAAGTCTGTAGGTGGTCCATTGGCATGAAGCGCCTCCTTCCCTCCCCCCTCCCCATTCTCTTCCTCTCCCCTCCCCTCCCTACCCTATCAGTTATTATTATTGTTATTATTATTATTATTATTATTGGGTTTTCCAAGGCCTGCTCTACAGACCAGCCTGGCCTAGAACTCAAAGAGATCTGCCTGCCTCTGCCTCCCCAAAAGTTGGCATTAAAGGCAAGTGCCACAACAGCCCGGCTCTTTTGTTTGTTTGTTTACTTTTTATTGGGAGAGAAGTGCGCACGCCATGGCGTGTGTGGAAGTCAAAGGTGTTCCTGGAGGTGACTCTGTCCTCCCACTTTTACGCGGGTCCGACGGATGGAACTCAGATCATCAGGCTTGCATGACAGGCACTTCTACCCACTGAGCCATCTCACTGGCACTTTCTCTGGGTCTATTTGTTTGTTTTGGTTTCTTGCAACAGGGTGGCATGTAGCCAAGGATGGCCCTGAGCTTAAACTCCTGATCCTCATGTCTCAGGTGCTGGGATTGCAAGCCTAAGTACTTGTAGCCCAATGTTGACTGACTCAGTTACACTGCACTCAACACCGGACACCAGCAGGATGGGGGCACAGGCCTGTTACCCCAGTACTTGGGATGCCAGAGGCAGAAGGCTCTTGAGTTTAAGGCCAATTGGACTCCAAAGGAAGTCAAGAATATATAGCTGTATGGCCTGAGCTATGCACCTAACCCTGTCTCAGAGAAACAAGTGCCAAGCCTGTAAGCGTGGGTACAGCATTTGCCCAGCTCATGCAGGGCCCTATGTGCCATGTGTCAGAGTCACTAAAACAGTCACACAAGGTCTCCTACCCGGACAGCAGATAATCACCACTAGCACACTGTCAGTAGAGGCAGAGTTTCTTCATGGAGGGGTGACCTTGACCCCCATCCTGGCTGGAAGCAGCCATACTTTGTGGGGAGAGGCTGTGGGCTGCCGGTCATACCACAGTGCAAAAGGGAACCTTCAGGCCCTGGCTGGGAGATCCAGACTGGGCAGCTGGGTGGAGAGGCCCTAGGTGGGTGTTCAATGCCTTCAAAATAGACTATTCCATGTGCTGCCCCATCCCACCCCACCCCTCATGGCCTCCTGAGATAAACCAGGCCCAGAATACCGGCTTGTGGGGCTGTGGGAGGGTGGGGTGGAGCAGGGGCAGTTTCCTTCCCTGCCCTATAGGAGGCGATGCATGCTAACTTACCATGCGTGACATGGCAGTCTTTGCTAACATGAATACCGCCTTCATAAAAGTCCCACAACAAAGCAGCTTCATTGCCCTCTCCGTCCCCCATTTTGCTGATGAGGAAAGCAAGGCTAGGAGACTTACCCAAAGTCAGAGCAGAGCTGGACTGGAACCCAGAAAGCTGGCCCCAGAGCCTGAGGCCTCACTGGGGCTACTCTGTACCTTCACTGTAAATGTTTGTTGAGTGACTGTCTGTTTTTGAACCCTGTTTTTGACAGAGTTGAGGGACCCACGGGGCAGTGAAGGGAAGAGGAGAAGTAAGGGTTGGAGACTGAAGGTTATGAGGGTAGACACCTGGAAGAACTGCACCCACTCGCTGTGGTGGTAGGGGAAGGGGCCCTCCAGAGCCTCGGGTAGCTGGCTAGGGTCCACGTGGTTTCTGAGGGCCTTCAGCGAGGTCAGCACCTCCACCTGCAGATAAAAGGAGAGTCAGGAGGTGTAGAGGGCTCTCCCCAGAGATGATGTAGAAGGTCCTGCTTAGGTCCCTGTCCAAGCACCACATCTCCCACTGGGAAGGTCCGGGGTTCTGAGCAGCGAGTCTTCTCTGGAAGCTCTGGTAAATCATTTGAACCCGACCCTGGTTACAGAACAGCACATAGAGGGCCCACATACTGCTGCTTCCAAGTCTGTGTTCAAGGCAGACATCATCAATCACCTGCAGAACTCATTCTTCTGGAGCCTGGCTCTTTTTCAATACTGCTGCTGCCCAGGCCTCTACTCACCTGGACAGGTAGTGCAGGTGGCTGGAGAATGGATGCCTTCTCTCCCAGGAGGAGCACTTTACTGATGGAGGCCTGAGCCAGAGCCTGTAAGGAGAGAGCCTCCTCAGGGCTGCTCTGTCCCCCCCCCCCTCTCCCTGAGAGACGCGCACAGGCACACTGTGGTCCCTGGGTGGGGGCTTTGTGTGGCATATTAGGATGAACCACTAACATCAAGAGAAAGCAAACTCAGGCTGCATTGCAAACCTTCCTTGAGCCCTCAGTTTCCCCGTCTACAAGACAAGAGGTCAGATGGCTAGGTAAGCGTACATCAAATCTTTACCTGCTCAGTTGTACAAACTGGCTAATCAAGACTCTTCTCTGTCAGGGGGTTTATGTGGCCCAAGGCTAGAGCCCTGTATCCCCAGAACATGTGGCTTAGTCAATGTAAGCCAGTAAGCACTAATGATATTCTAAGAAACTTTGTCTGGGACCGCTCTCACAGTGTCCCATGCTCAATCAAATGGCTGTGACTTCCAAGCTGCTGGGAGCCATACTGCCACCAAGTGGAAGTGAGGCCATGAGCAAAGGGCAGCCTTGTAGGACTTGGACAGAAATAGAGACAATGGCACTCTCTGAGCCCTTGGATGGGGCTGTATGCACTGCAGGATTCAACTCCTGGCTTTAAACAAGGAACTGCCCCTTTAAGACAGTGCTCACTCTTTTAAAAAGCCAGATCCCGCAGCCTGAAGAGACCAGGCCCTCTCTGGGTCAGACAGTTAAGGATCTGTCTGTGACTTGACTTTCCTTTGTGGTTGGTGCCTGGCTCTTCCTTGTTCTCTGTCATGTACAGCCTATTGAGCTAAGTCTCATGATGACAAACTTCTCACTAGCCCCACCAAACTTACAAAGGTCTGGTGTTTCTCCTGTTCCTGGGATCGCTAGCAAGATTCGCTCTGGAGACTTCTCTGATTAGTGTCCTCTGCCAATCCTATCCCTGCCAGGGTGGTCAGCTCGCTCTCTCTCTCTCTCTCTCTCTCTCTCTCTCTCTCTCTCTCTCTCTCTCTCTCTCTCTCCCCTCCCTCTCTCATCCTCATTCTTCATGAAGCTTGTCTCTGGGTTTTAAAGGGAAGCTGCCTTCTCTTTAAGGTCCCTGCTATGTCTGTCTCTCCCATCATGCACCAGTTCTCTCTAAAGTTTCCTCTCTCACCTCAAGGCCCCATGATGCCCTGCACCCCTTTAGCCTAACACAATGCATTTTCTGAAGGGAGTCATTCTCCAACATCCCTTCCAGCACTCACCGCTGCTACTTTTAACCCTCTTTGTTATACTGAGCCAGCCAATACCCTTTGTCTAGAAGCCTGGTTGCAGGGTTTCCTTAGCTGCCACTGAAAGTCTCTGCCCAGGTTTTTAGATGCCAACCTTAAGCCCACCAGGTTCTGAGCGTGCCACAGTCCCCTCGGGACTCCCAAGGCCAGCTACACTAAGGCTCCCTACCTGGTACTCACCCGTGTGCTCTGCAGGGCGCTGACCAGAGCAGGACTCGGGGGCCCTTTCCTGGCATCAATCACCACCAGTAGCCCTTTGGCTTTATCATCCAGCCTGTGGGTAGAAGACAAAAGTCAGGTCCTGCAAGGCAGCCTGGGGCTCAGGAGGACCTGGTGGAAGAGTAAGGGAAACAGGTGGGCAGATGTCTTCACATTGAAGATCAATGCCTCCTCCAGGAAGCACCCAGGATTTCTCCTACAGAATCCACAGCCTCCCCTTCACCTCACAGGTCCCAGGTGATTCATCACCATGGTTACTATGTGACTGTAGTCACCACCCTTTTGTGGCCAGGGACGTGGCTCAGAGGTTGTATGTGAGCCGCACTGGGTTCTTTCTCAGAGTTCCAAGCAAAAAATAAATGAAATGGAAAACCCTCCTTCCTGTTCTTTGTGTAGACAGGACCCCCAAATTTGTTCAGGATTCACCAGCCCCCACCTATGGTTTTCTGAGCTGTAGAGCCCACACTAGTGACCCAACCTCCACTGCCAATGGCTGGGCTAGGTGACCTATCTTTTCCCAATGAGATGAGGAAAGTTAACTGAATGGCTTCAGTTAACTTTCAGAAAAAAAAATCTATTTTCTCCTTTAAGGAACTGTTCGAAAGAGGGAGGGAGTTGTTGGGAAGAGGGGGACGGGACGGGGGAGGGGGATACAAGCAGGGCAAAAGACCTAAGTAACCAACCAAGTGAGACAGAGCCATAGGAAAGCCCCTACTTTGTATAACTCACTATACTCACTATATATATATATCACTACTATAACTCACACAGTGTTGCAGGGAAAAATTCTGGCCTCAAGGCAGACGACCAGAAGCTATTCTGAACTTGACTTTACGGCGCTTGCACCCAGAACAGCCCCTGCTCTTATCACCCAAGCGGGGAAGGTGGATAGAGCTGCTTCCCAGATCCCAGGCTGACCTAATTACAGGCTTATGTCAAATGGGAGTCCCCTCCCCAACCAGCCCTGGCCCCAACCCAGGGCCCTCAGACTTCGAGCAGCAGATGGTTGGGAGGCTGGTGGGCGGGGCCCAGAGGGCTTGGTGGGCTGTAGTGCCCTTAGCCAGTCTGCTGCTCACTGGGGTCTGGAAGGCACCCCTAGCTGTCTTCACACCTTACACCACCGGTTCACAGCCCACAAAGCCCTTCGTTGTTTCGTGTCCCAGTCACGTGATGAAGCCATGTGAGAACTGATGGGCTCATTAGTGTAACGCGCCCACTGCCTATCCAGAGCTGGAGGGGCACAAAAGCTTGCCTTGGCCATCCCGGGTGGGGAAACTGACACAGAACAGCCAGGCAGTAGACTGTGTGAGGAGTTGACATCGCATATTCCCCTCATCCCTGGGCTCCCTGCTCATTCGAGGGGGCAGGGTGAGCCACAGAAGGGGGATGTCACTGCCACGAGGTCACAGAGCAAAGTGGATGGGGAGATGTCCCAGGGTTCTGTCTACCACAGGGCCATTTCTCAGAGATGGTGGCCAGTTTCCACCTGCAGAAAACCTGCTGTCTGGTGACCTGCAGCGGACTTGTGATCTGTGGGGCACAGGGGGCTCTGGGAAAGAGGGGGCAAAGAAGGCTTCAAGGACCTTCACGGCTTCTTTATCTCTCCCTAGATGCTGACCCTCCAGTTGGCTGGGGTTCTACAGCTACAGGGTAGGGAAATGCCATCTGCATGTCCTGGTAGGAGCCTGTGTCTCAGAAGCCAGACCATGAAGTCTGAACTGTGGGCTAAGGGGCTAGGAGCAGGCGAGGCCAGGGACTGAGAATCAGCCTGGGCTATTCTTGTGTGTGCAGGTGCTTGCATAGAGGAGTGCCGAGGCCAGAGGTCAACCTCAGCTTTCATCCTCAGGGGCCATCTACCTTTTCCCTTGAAACAGAGCCTCCCATTGGCTAGGAGTTAGGCTATGCTGGATGGCCTGTCTCTGTACCTCCAAACGCACCCCACCATGCATGGCCTTTTGTACGTGGCTTCTGGAGTTAGAGCGCAGGTGACCTTGCTTACAAGGCAAATGCTTTGCTAACTATGCTGTGGTCCCAAACCCTGTTCTTTAAGTCTCTCGTTTGTCCACTCACTTGTTCTTTTGCCCTGTCATTCATTTACTCGGCAACATTTATATCTAAGATGCCACCTCCCCAAGAGAAGCCTTCCCTGGCTTCCAGGCCAAACGCAACCCTCTCACCTTTTCTGCACTACAACAGTGCTTCTTAAAGATTAGTCTCCCACCCAGCCACATGGGAGTGGCCAGAAACCTTACCAGAAATACAGCTTCTCAGGCCCACTGAGCGTGAAGTGCTGGGGGTGAGCTGAGCGAACTCCTTCAACGGCTCATCTAGCCATTCTATGACACAGGTGCGCTACCAGGTCCCAGCAGTGGGTTCCTGCTGCGTGTCTGTGGGATGTTCCATGCACACCTTCCCTCTCTCCCACCAGCCTGGGAGGGCCCTGGCTAAAGGCACAGAGCCTATCTGTCACCCAGCTCCTAGCCCGTGGACACGTGGTAGATGGAAGGACCTGGGGCCTCTTCACTACACAGTATGATAATGTTGCCTTACCTAGGAACACTGCATAAGTAGGACAGCAACTCCGTGACCTCCAAAGTGGAACACCATGGTGCATCCCAGGCCTCCTGCATGGTCGACATCAGAAGCAGAGGCCGCCCTGCCCGGTCCCTACCACCTGAAGGAGAGAAGACACATGAACAATGACAATCGTGGGGGGCCCTCCATGGGAGCCTCCTCTGTGACTCTCAGGCCTTTGCCTACACTGATCTTTCTGCCTGGAATGTTCCTTTGTCTCTTCCTTCTGTGACCCCCAAACTCCTATTCATCCTCCAAAGGCCCAGCTTCAAAACCAGGTCTCCCTGAATTCTCCTTCAGCAAAGACTCAGCTCACTATCTTCAGGGCTGTCTCTGTATGGTGCATGCACCATACTATAGTGTGTGCACACCAAGAAGCACAGCTGGTGCAGCGAGCTCTGTGAGCTCTGGGGTCACACAGACTAGTTCACATCCTGACCTGCTGTGGGCCCCTGGGGAAGTCTGTTCTTCCCTGAGTTTCATTTTCATCTACCTGATGAGACAGACAGACAGATGGCAAATTCATTCCTGGGTAGGTGAGGTTTCTTTGGGGACTATGGAGTCAGTTCCGGAGAGTGTCCAGCACTCAGCCAGGACCGGGGTGTCTCACTGTCGCCTCTGGATTCATGGCCCAGGAGGTCAGCCTAGCTGGCAGGACCTTCCTTCATCCAGCTCTGTTTGTCTGGTGTGCCCCACCCTCTTATTCCCAGCTATTGAGATCTTCTCTGTCTGATGCTCTGGCCAAGGCATCACTTTCATATTCCCCATCCTGGGGTCCTATAGGAAGCTGCCTCCTGAAATTGGCCCAGGACAGCATCAGAGCACGGATGGATGCCTTGAGGAGATGGCCAGCACATGGAGTTAGAGGAATGCAGACCAAACTGTAAGCTGGGAGCTTGCAGAGTGAGATGGGTCCAATGGTCCAGCTTGCCTCCTCTCCCTGGATCCCAAGTGGTACAGATGGAGTCTGTCCCTGGGCCCAAGTTCAAGTATCAGAAGGATCAGATGCTGGGTGCCCTGGAACGTGGCAACCATGTAACCAGAGCCTGGCTCTGCCTGCCCACCAAATGCTGCCTGAGTCAGGGCCAGGGCAACAGGCAGCGCCCACACAGCAGGCATTCTTCTCCAACTAATTTGCTTTTCATTGGAGCAAGGAGCTCTCTGTGTCCCAAACTCTGCCCTTGCCCAAGGGCCAGATCAGAAACACCATCTCTAGCCCCCCCAAAAAACCTTTCTGCTATGGGCAAGCTGGGTACCAATGTCACACGGAAACAGGAGCGGCAGGTGGGACTGAAAATTTCAATAAAGCATCCACAGATGACTGGGACTCCAGCAGATGGCTCCTCGGGGATCTGCAGGGAAGATGTGGCAGTCTGGGAGTAGCGGGATGGCAGGACAGGCAGTCCCCCAAGGCACCACAGTCCTTCCTGCTCCTGACCTTTGCATTGCTGTCCCGTTTCTGAAAGGCTGTTTGCAACATTTCTGTGGCTAACCCCTAAGCTTTCCTGGTCTGTCCTACTGGAAGCCTGGGCCAGGAGCACTATCTGTTTCCCCATTTCCTAGACATTTTCTTTGTTGGATTGATGTTTCTCTAATGCTAGAATAAAATTGTGTGGGTGCAGGGGCTACATAGACTCATTTCCCAACAAATCCACAGTGCTATGTCTAGGGCAGAGGAAACAGTGATCGGATTGTTACTAATCGAGAATAAAACACCCATAGCATGGAAGCTGTCGATACCTGATCCAAAGCGTCTTGGTGGGCGTGGCACTTGCTTGTTCACCAGAGGCAGGAAGAACTATTAACAGAGGCCCACAGATGCTTCCTTCCCTGAAGAATTGCCCTTAGCTGTACTAGCTTATTGGCTCGCCCCAAGTCATTCCAGGATCATCCTGCAGTCAATGACTGACACACCCAGGATCAACCTGCAGCTAATGTCTAACAGGCCCAGATGGTAAATACTGACCCCACACCCTGGCCAGCCAGCTGGTATAACCTCAGAGTCTGGCACCACTGTGCTTGTCCCCTCCTTAGCCTGCCTTGCTTTGCATCGACCTATTCTCACGGGTTTTCCCAAGAATCTTTGTCTCAAGCTCAGCTCCTAGGAAGACTGACACACACACCTTAGCTTCCTCATTGAAGTTTGGATAAATGGATGGATAGATGGGTGGATGGTGGACAAGTGGACAGATGGGTGGATGGATACCTAGAAATGGATTTCCTCTAATCCAAGCCTTTTATTGGAAACTTTGCAGCCTCCTGAACCTTTCCCCTCTTCGCCCACCAGCATCTGAGTATGCTCTGCCCCCTGTACTCCCTCTTGGACCCCAGAACCTGGCAGGCAGGCTATCCTGGAGTGGAGAAGCTTGACTCCCAGAGTTCCAATCCTTGGCTCAGGCCTGGAACACTCCTCCAGGCTAAGTCCCCGTCCTGAGGGACCTGAAGAATCTTTCCGGAAGCCAGGCGGCTCCCCAGACAATGGGGCTGAGCCAGATGTTCTGGGGAGAGCTGTTCCATCTGGGGAAGAAGAACAACAAAGCAAGGGCTGTCACACGGGAGGCAGACTTTCCCAGGGACAGTGTTTTGTCTTCCACCCAAACAATAATACAGCTTGTAGCACAACCTGCTCTTTGCCAGGTGATGCTAAGTCCCTTCCTTCTGGTATGTCTGAACATCACAGCAACTCTGTAATGTAAAAGACACCCCCACCCACCTACCCCCCAGCAGAGAAAGAGGTCTGAACTCAGAGACGTGAAGTGCCTATCCAAGGTCACACAGCATGAGACAAAGCTGGAATGTGAACCCAAACAGACCTAATGAAATAGCCTTGCTCAGTTCTACACTGGTGAGACCTCCTCAGTGCCCTGAGCCTGTGACAACCATATGGTCCCTGTCTCTCACAGCCAGAGCCTCCTCCACCTGGTAAGTCTGGTTCTTGTCCTGCAGAGTGTAGGCTCTTACCTTTCCCAGAGGCCTTGGTTCCACAGGGCTGCAGGGAGTTGAGGGGGCTCAGGGCCTTCTCCGGGGGCAACAGGGGTGCCTTCTGACCTTTCAAGAACTGGAGGCCAGGAGCCAGGGACCCACAGATGGAGGTGTTCCTATTGAGAAAGGCCTGGGGCTTGGAAGCTCTGCTGTGTTCTGGGGTGGTCTCCTCTGTCTTTGTCTCGGAAGCTAGGGCTACAGGGGCAGCTGAGGACAGAAGGGGAGAGAATGTTTGTCTTGGCTCAGGCCTGAGCTGGACCATGGCTGTTGGCGTTCCCAAAGGCCTGTGCATCTTAGAGACTGCTGGATCTTCTTCAGTATCTTTCACCAGGCCAGAAGTGCAATCCAGTGGCGTCTGCAGACCACTGTGGGACTGCTGAAGCTGTCTCTCGGCAGTGTGGGCAGATGCTTTGTGTCTGGCCCTTCTTCTTGAGCCCCCGCTGCAGGCCTTCTCTCCTGAGCCTGCAGGCTTCACACTTGCCAGTCTTCCCATGGGAACTCCGTCATCAGGCCCCGGGGAAGGTAGAACCCTCCCAAGCAGGGGTGCCCTCTTAGTTCTGGATCTCTCCTCCTGTGATCTGTGAGTGTCCATACTGAGTGCTGCAACCTCCCTGTCTGGAGACACCCTTCTACACTGTTGGGGGAAGCCCAGGAGAGCCACATAGTCCCCCTCCAGGCCCTGGTTGGCCTCACTGTCCATCCTGAAGGCCGTGTGCCCTGGCTTTGCTGGCTCTACCTTGATGAGCCCTGGATACTTGTCCCTAGACAACTTCCCTTTATCCTTAGCCCAGCTGTGTGCCACAGACCCCTCGCTGCCCAAGGAGCTGGCCTGGTATGGCTCCTGGGGGCTGCTCAGATGGAGTGTCTCTAGTGGACAGGAGTCCCCATCTGAGGAAGGCACATTTGCTACTAGAGGTCTGTCATCTATAAACTCTGGGCTGGTAATCCTGGTCCAAGGCACAGGCGTGATCCCGTTTTCTGAAGCCACAAGACAGTTGTATAAGGGGCGTCCCTCAAAGTCACTGTTAATAGCTTCCAGCCATTCTGGGGTGAAAATCAGAGAGTAGGAGGTCTCAGGAATAGACTTGTTGTCCACCTTGCGGAGGTCTGAGGAGAGACACTTGAGTGTCATGTGGACAGACTGCTCCTCCCGGGACTCCACTTGAAGGTAGAAGTCACCCTGACGCAGCAGGAGAGGGTTGAGTGGTGCCAAGTGGACCACGACCTCATCCCGAAGACACAGCGGCCAGCCCTCATGCAGGAAGAGGCAGTGGGTATAGAGGGCCTGCAGAGAGAAGGGGACATCAGAGGGACAGGCTCCAGGCCACCTTGGTTTTGGTCACTTCCTTCCTTTGTCCCACATGGGACCTCAAATAGCCAGGGAATAGGCAAAAGAGATACCCAGAAGCAGGCATGGAAGAGGCCTTTGCTGTCAGGGTATATGGGGCCACTTGCTCCTAACCCTTGGCATTGGCCTTGAAGATGCTTGCTAGCCTCCTGGCCTGAAGAAAAGTCCAGTGCTCCAAGTATATTAGTTAATCAGCAAGTACCGTCCATGGCAACTCTGCTTGGCTCAGGACCCTCTCCTCTCCACCTACCCCAAACTCCTCCTACCCCCCCCCCCTTTAAAGCCAGGAAGGCAAGGATCAGAGGTCTAAATGGGTTGATTATACATATTACTGTTCTGCTCTGAGATTTGATTTCTCTATCTGCAAATTGGAATTAAGTAAACAAAGCACAGCAGTCTTCCTAGGCTGGCATGAGATAGGTTGAGTGTGGATGCTTCAGTAGTTTCAATCTGTTTAACCCACACAAGCTCATAGGGAGTGGCCCCATTAGGAGGCGTGACGTTGTTGAAGGAAGTGTGGTCTTGTTGGAGGAGGCAGGATGCCACACATCTATAATCCAGACCTCGAGGCTGGAGAGCAGGGTTGCCATGGAAGGTACAGTTAAAATGACACAGAAACAGTTTTGAATGGGAAGTCAGACCCTGCTACATCTTGCCAGATGACCCTGCAAAGGCCACCGCCATTTTTACATTCTGCCATCGTAGTCTCTCTCTCCTACCCACAGGAGTCGGGGTGGTGATGCTGCGTCTCAAAGAGGTAATATGGGTCCTCCATGTTCACAGTGATTGAATCTTGACACAGAGAACCTGACCTCAAAGGACCTACTGTGAGTCCCTCTTTGCTCCTGTCTATTCTGAGGTGACATGAATTTATCCATGACAGCCAAATCAAATGTGCCTATAACTAAAAATAAAGGTTGTGAATTCACCTTGGAGAAAGGAGAGGACAGGGCAAATGGTTTTGACTTTTTTCTTTGAAGACAAGGTCTCATGTAGCCCAGGCTGGCTTAGATCTCACCATGTAGCTGAAGATGACCTTGAATGTCTCATCCTCCTGCTTCTTTCGACCTGCTGAGGGCTGGCATCACAGGCAAGCATCGATGTGCCATTTATGTGAATGGATCTAAACCCAGGGCTTTCTGCATATTCAGCAAGCACTCTGCCAAGTGGGCTACATTTCCAGCCCTGCAAATGTGTTTTGAATAGCCAAGTGACAGTTGTGTGGCTTGTCAGGGAGTGAAAAAAAGAGGTGAGGAGGAGTAGGGGGTTAGGGGGTCATGGCAGGTCACGGGCAAAGGCTCTGGGAGATACTGCATTCTACTATTCCCATTCAGGACCAGTTGCTAGGGTGCCCCCTGGGTGCTGTGGATCCTAAGAATGGCTATGTGGCTCTTGATGTTGGGTGGCAGTCAGTTCAGGGTAACTAGCGGTAGCTCAGGGACATGGGCAAATCCCTGAGGGAGGAGGGCAGAGGGAATCAAAACTTTGATCTCCCCACTATTTTTCTAAAGCAGGAGAGAGAGGGAGAGGAAGAGGGAGGGAGAGAGAGACAGAGAGAGACAGAGAGAGAGACAGAGAGAGAGAGAGAGAGAGAGAGAGAGAGAGAGAGAGAGAGAATCACAGTACTCAATTCCTCTGGTCAACAGTGATTGGCCCATCCATGGACACATGACCACAGTCTGGCCAATGAAGACCCTTTCTAAGAGCTGCTGCGATTCTGGCCAACTGGGAGAAGCAGGAAGCAGAATTTGTCTTCTAGTAGGTTGACTGGGTAAACTCATGGCCTGAGTGGGAGCTATGTTGTTTCCCTCTACTGCCTAAAACAGTTGACTTTCCACTTCACCCCAGGAGCTGTCTCCCTGAAATCTCAAGAGATTTTCAAGGATAAAAGTGGAAGTGTCTTTAGGAAAGAAAGCTCTGGAGCATTCTCCATTGCCTCTGTGAAAGCGGCCTCACCAGCCAGAACCTGATGTTGCCAGCACCCCTGCAGGTCCCCCAGGGCCAGCGAAGGTTCTCACACTTCTGTATTTCCTCCATGATGATGAAATGTCTATGTCATTGGCCTCTTTCTCTACTGGCAAGTGGTGGCATTTCCCTTTGGATGAGCAGTGGTTCTTGGGAACCCTCCCCTTGACCACCATATTCCTTGTTGGGGAGACACACCTTGCCCACCTCCCTCTCTTCTCAATTCCAGCCCTCTGGGCTTCTGAGAGAGCTTATTATGACAGTCACACAATGTCCCCAACTTACACAGGCTGCTTCCCGCACTTGCTCACACAGGCGCTTGGCAGGGATGAGGAAATCTAGGAGGAAGTTCAGCCCATCTCCCCGGAAGTCAGACTCCAGTAGCCGGAACACTTGACCCAGGACAGTAGGGGCAGTGGCTTCAAAAGGTGGATATAGCCCTGCCAGGGCATGCTGGATAGCCATGTCAAGGGCTGAAGGGTCCTGCTGGGGACAACAGGGAAGGAGAACAGTTATAGTAGCAGTGAGGATAGGAACAATGACCACTCCTATGACCTTCAGGACCCCTGTGAGTGAGACCTTGCTGACTCCAATGGCCAGAGCTAGGCCCTCACTTCACTCCAGCCTAACCTAGGAACTTCTCAAGTCTATATGTACCTCCCTGCCATGATCCAGTGAGAGCCCCACAACCCAGCTAGATTCTGTTGTGAGAATTCATCCCATCCTGCTAGCTCAGTTGGTAGAGCATGGAACATTAATCTCAGGGTTGTAGGTTTGTGCCCCACATTGGGCGCCAGATGATGAGTGAACTCACAGAGGTAATAAAAACCGACTTATTAAGGGGTGCTATGAAAAGACAAAACTCACGAATACAGAACAAAGCAGAAGCTGCTACTGATCCAGCTGCTGCTGACTCCATGCAGCCTCTCTGCCGATTGGTGTCTGACCACGCCAAGCAAGAGAGCACAGTCCTGCTTCCTCTCAGGCTTATCAGCCTCTCACATAGCACCCCAGATCATTCCCTAAGGTCAGTACCCCAGCAGCCCTCAGCCATGCCACATTCGATGGCCTCTCCCTTTCTAGCTCACCCTCCTGTGATGCCTTCCCTGCCTAGCTCTATCATCAATTTTGTGCAACCACTTTCTCTGCCTTTAGTCTTCTGAACTCCAGCCCTCCTCCACCAGGATCCCAAAAGCAGCCTTACTCTAACACATCAGGTCCCTGCTCAACATCCCTCAAGGGCTCCCCATTGCTTGATGCCAGCCTCCCTCAGCCCCCCTGCCTCTGTCTCTGCCTCTACCATAGCAGGGGGAATCTTACCTCTAACCCTAGTCAGTGCTGTCCCTTCCTCTTGAACACCTGCCTGCCTCTTTCTCTCTCATTCCAGCTGGCAACTCCTTCCTTTAACCTCGAGACTTAGGCAAGCCCCTGCCTACGCTCTGTGCCTTCACACCTGCCTCTATATCCACTGAGATGTCTCCTCCTCTGGTGCCCTATCAGAGAAGTTCCCACACTGACTTCTGGCCCCCAAATGGCAAGTGGGGCCGGAAGAGCAGGTCCCTAAAGATGCCCACATTCAAATCTCCACAGCCAGTGAATACAAGCAAAGAAGGACAGAAGGAAATAAAGCAGGGACTCCGAGGCAGGGGAAAAGGCATGGCTTGCACTCAACCAGATTCCAAGGCCAGGGGTGTGAGGCAGAGGCCCCACTCCGTACCATTTAGCCTACCAGAGAACCCTTAGTGTTGGCAAAATAAGCAAATGAGTGAAAGAATTCATGTCTACAGCTGCACTGTGATGGAGACTGGGTCACATGCTGGCACGCTGTGAGCTGTGGGGTGGGAATAAGAAGGGCACTCTCCAGAGCTGGGGAAAATATCCTTGGTGTGGTAGAACAGGGAAGGGGGTCACTGCTGGCCTTACTAATGCCCCCAATCTCACCCACCAGTCACCTGCTGTGCCCACTGGCATAGTCTGAATCACAAGAATGGGTCCACAGGCTCACATGTTTGAATACTTAGTCTCCAGCTGGTGGAATTGTTTGGAAGGATTAGGAGGTGTGGCCTTGTTGGAGGAGGTGTGTCACTGGAGATGGAATTTGAGGTTTCAATGGCTAAAGCCATTCCCAGTTAGCACGTCTGTCCTGTGCTTGTAGATAAGATGTAAACACTCAGCTCCGGCTCCGGCACTAGGGCCTTGCTCCCTGCCATGGTGGCCACAGACTCTAATCCTCTGGAACTGAAAGTCTCAAATAAACCTTTTCTTTTATATTGCCTTTATCATGGTGACTTTATAACCATAGGAAAGTAGCTAAGACTCCCTCCAACATGGGGACATTGAGAGGAAGATTACAAATGCCATCCAAGGACACAAACACAGGCAGTCTGCTGGGCCTGCATCCTTCACGCCACGTGCCCCACTCCACCCTGCCCATGCTGGGACACCGGCTTACATGGCTTCTGCCTCCTTTTGCAGCCTTGATTAGGGACCTGCTCTCTCTGGGCCTCATCACTAGCTGTGCTGTTGGCTTCATTTTTGGAAATATAATTACTTGTGATACTCAGCATCTATACCATGAAAGCTGTTATTTTGTTTTTCCACATTGTGGCTGTTTGAAAGAAAATGGCCCCCAAAAGGAGTGGCACCATTAGGAGCTGTGGCCCTGTTGAAGGAAGTGTGTCACTGTGGGGGCGGGCTTTGAGATCCTTTTCTCAAGCTTCACTCAAGGTGACAGTCAGTCAACTTCCTGTGGCCTCTGGTTCAAGATGTAAACCACTCCCCCCACAGCACCATGTGTGCCTGCATGCCGCCATGATCATAAACGGCCTGAACCTCTGAACTGTAAGCGATTCACCTCAATTTATGTTTTGTATATAAGAGTTGCTGTGGTCAGAGTGTCTTTTCACAGCAATGGCAAACCCCTAACTAAGACACACATATACCCACTCTGCGTAGTTAAATTTTCTTTCTTTTTTCCTTTCTTTCTTTTATTTCTGTTTTGGATTTTTGAGACAAGGTTTCTCTGTATAGCTTTGGAACTTGTCCTAGAACTCACTCTGTAGACTAGGCTAGCCTCAAACTCACAGAGACCCACATGTCTCTGCCTCTTGAGTGCTAGGATTAAAGGTGGGCATCAACCTCACCCCCCAGGCTTAGTTAGGGTTTCTATTGCTGTGAAGAGACACCATGAAGATGGCTACTCTTACAAAGGAACACATTTAATTGGGGCTGGTTTACAGTTCAGAGGTTTAGTCCATTGTCATCATGGTGGGACATAATGGCAATGCAGGCAGACACCGTGCTGGAGAAGGAGGTGGGGATTCTATATCTTGATCTACAAGCAGCAGGGAGAGACTGCTACACCAGCCCTGGCTTGAGCATATATGAGAACTCAAAGCCCACCTCCACTGTGATTCACTTATTCCAACAAAGCCACACCTCCTAATAGTGCTACTCTGTGTGTGCCAAGCATTCAAACATGAGTCTCTGGGGCCATTACTATTCAAACCACAACAGGCACATAATTGTGTTCCTATCTCCAAAGTGTGTGTGGGGGAAGACCCTACACTCAAAGTCTCTTGCTAGTGTCACATAAAATGATGCTACTGCTAAGCCTGTGTACTTCATCATTCTGGTAAAGAGTTGGAGTCACCCTTTCCCAGAGAGCAAGCAGAAGGAGAAATAGAAATAGAGTGTGAATCCCACCCAGACCCAAGGCAGTGAGGACAGCTTGTTCTCTGTCCACCCCCAACCACTGGCTGCCTGCTTAGTCTGGGACCAACTCCTTTCAGGGTGGTCTGTCCTCGATTCTAGTGGTGCCTAAAGAAACCACATGAAGGAAGGCAAAGCTTGCCCACTGAACCAACATTGGCTTGTACAGGCTGCCTCCACTTGCCACACACTTTAGCCATCTTCAGATGTGGCTGGGCAGTGTGAAATTTCGACAAGTGTACAGGCTACACTCTTGGTGGCTCACTCCCTACCAGAGGCTTGACTCCTGGGACACAGAACTGTCCAAGAATCCAGGAAGAACCTGGTGGAAAAGGCCCAGGAGGCTGCAAGGAAGAATGCTGCCCCTTGCCATCACCAACGAACTGAGCAGCCCAGCCCTAGACCACAGGAGTCCAAGTGCTGCTGCCAGACTCTAAATGATGGCTGTGAAACTTGATAGACACGTTTCCATTCCTTCCCAGCAAGGCAGCCCAGCCAGCAGTCCATGCACCTCGCAGGAGCCAGGCATACATGGTGCTGAAAAGAAGGCAGGACCAGCCCTCTTTGCAATGGGGACAGAGAAAGAGCCCAGCACACCAGGACCGATGGACATATGAAATGGAGCCCTGGTTTTCTTTTTGAAGAGCTGGGCTGGAACCCAGGATCTGTGTGTGCCAGGTGAGAGTTACAACCGCAGCCCCTGACCTTCACCACTGAGCCATGGCCCCAGCCCTTGGTCTTTTAGGGTAGATCTCACCAAAAGCTAAGGCTAACCTCGAACTCATTATGTAGCCCAGGCTGGCCTCCAGTTCCTACCTCTGCCTCCTAAATGCAGGGATTACAGGTATGCACACCACTCTGGACTGTACAAATCTATCTGAGCATCTTTTCAAGGAGTGAGCTGTTGTCATCCCAAATGTGAATTTTATCAAGCAAAATCAGCAAATACAAGATATGCAGATGAATATATTTTTACCTATGCAACCTTGCAACCAATACCCAGCTCAATAGGGGTTCTGTCACCCCTAGCCAACTGCTCCCCTTCTAAAGCTTCTATTACAAATGCTTTTAAAGAAAAATTCCCATACAGTATGGCTCACAGAATGGGAGTTGGTCCAGACAAAGCCCTAGCAGGCATTAAGCAAAGTTGCCCTGAGGGCAGTGAGGGGCAGGAGCCTCACAAAGTGGCCTTTTAATTTTCTTCTGAGCTTGCTACATTTTCCAAACATTCTGGAAACAGTGAGTGTAGCTTTCATAACCAGGGGGAAAACATAAAAGTGTGATCGTGTGCTTTTAAGGCTGGCTCCTTTTTTAAATGGTCTCGCCAGATGTTGTTAGCTGGGCCTTATGAGATGTGGGCTGGACTGCCTTAAAGGTCCAGATCTTCCCACTGGCTCCTCAGGGCCAAGATTCTAGTCTCATTTGGCAGGGCTGCCTCCTCCTCCTCTTCCTCCTGGAAAAGGAGAGGAGTAGGAAGGGCTGGTATGGGCAGGGTCCTAAGCTGAGCCACACTTGCCTGCTGTGTTCAGGCCTGGGTTCCATCTCTCACCACAAATGAAAAAGAAGGAAAAAGCTAAGAAAGGTGAGACTGATTGTGCCCCAGTTTCTCCACTTGCAAAAGGGAGCCAGAGCGCTCCGACCTCTTCAGAGAATTTCCTTCGTGCAGTTGACTGTGGTTAAGGTAGAAATTCACAACAGCTCAAAGTGCAGAGAACAAGTGTCTGTGGTGTGCTCGGCCACACAGGGACATCTGCGTCACACCTCATGGAAGA